AACTTACTGGATAGGCTGAAAACAATGCCCTGGGGATCCAGGAATGGCTGATCCACCAAAAAGGGCCCAAGTCAGGAAGGTGGGATCATGCCACCACTGGCATTACTGAGTTAAAGGGTGTGCAGCTGCAGGGTGGCCAGGTGGTCAAAAAGCAATGTGACCACTCCTGCAACAACTGCCTCTCGGCACCCACAAAACCGAAGTGCAGACACAGAATGAGCCTCATGTCTCTGTGAACTTGCCAGAAAACAGAATACAGGAAGACTGTTAATCTACCGGACTTCAGCCTTCCCAAATTGGGCATCTGATCAAAGGAGCCCAGTTTTCACCCGGGACACCGGTTCCCAGGGAGTTTGGGAAACAGTTTTTACCTTGCCAGTCTGCAGACCCAGAAGAAATGCAGAAGAGGAGGGCTCAGCCCATCCCATTCCCAGCACCCAAAAGGGGAGGAGAAACACCACAGAGATCTGTTGTCCGTGGAGTTCATGTGGAGATGCAGGCTGGCCCCTAGTGCTCCGATTTGTACAGTGGGAGGATGGGGGGAAGGAAGGAAGGAAGACAGGGTGTGAGGGCAGGTAGGGGTCCAGTTGTGGCAGTCCATGTGGAGCTCCAGAGGCTCTGGCCTTTTCTAGCCCCATGGTTCATGGGGGCTGGGGGGCAGAGCTTCTCTACAGATCACGGACCCATGGGGAGAGAAATCAACTAAAGCCTATTTACTCACTGAAAAGTAACTTAGGCTGGAATTTTTCAAGGGAGGAAAAAAAGCCCCAAAGCCACGATGCATCTCCTGGCCACTGGCTCTATTAATAACACACAAAGCCATTGCCAATAAACAGAGCAAGTGTGAAATACACACAGTGGCTCTGTAAAAAAGGGAGGAGGGGATGCAGCAGGGTGGTAAGACATACCAGGGACAGGAAAAGAAAAAACTGACACACCATGAGGAGAACAGCAAGAGACTGCAAGACCTGCAGGGGAAGACGGGAGAGCTGGGTGCGCAGGCAGGATGAGAACTAGTGAACAGGCAGCTGCAGTCAAATAAAGACAGAGACGCAAGGAGGTCCGAGGAGTGGCTGTGCTCTTTGTCCCTAAGTAGGAGCTCTGTTTGATTCACTGTAAAGGCTATCCCATGCTTCTGGAAGCAGTCTCTAAATCCTCAGCTGAGTTGCCGACGTGACCTGTACCAGCTGGAACAGCCTAGATGCACTTCTCAATCCGCTTCCCAGTGACCCAGATGTGGCCTGCCACGTCTCCTAGCTTTGAATGGTGAGCTCTTATTGCACACACTTGCTGGGAGGTCAGTGGATGAGTTTCATCTTTAATTCTTTATTCTCTCCCCTGCCTTGCCTAAGGTAACCATTATTAACTAATGAGTGTATATCTCCCATTCCTTTCTTTGTGCTCACATGACAGAGCAATACGGCTAGCTGGACTGATAGGAGTGGCAGGTTTCAACAGACATACAAGTACAGTTCAAAGCCCAAAGCTATGTGTAACACACATTACGGTCGCTCAAGGAGGGCTTATGTTGGGCTGGAATGCTGGGAAAGCGGCATCTCAAGCGGAAACTGAAGGATTAAGTGTCCAGAGGCAGAGTGTAGGGAGGAAGACATTCCAGGTAGAAGGCAAGGGAAGGAGACAGCTGGGACATGGTAGATAACATGGTGTGACTGCAAGGAAGATATCTGCAGAGGGCTGGTGGCTTTGGAGTAGAGGAAGATCAGGGCCTGAGAGCCAACTTAAGAAAACCAGAGTTCGTTACAGCGCAGTGATCAACCAGGATGAAGGCAGAAAAAGCCCTTGCAGTTCAACAGCTGCTCTCGGGACCATGCTTACAGATCAAGTAACTGAACTAAATCAGCTCTAGGGTCTCTTTGACTCAAATACTATGATGCCCACCAAGTCAGTAAATCTAAATACCATGCCTTCCCACCTTAAAGAAGAGAGGTTCCATGAAGAGTGTCTTGGTACCCAGTGGTGGCTGCCACATGGGAGCACTTGATATTTAGTGAACTGAATTAGTTGCTCTTTTGGTCTCCTGTATAGTCCACGAGGGAAACAGACTGATAATTCCGTTACAACATAGTCGGTATAACGAAGGAATGCCCAGACCATGGGCACGCAGTGACTCTCCAGGGAGTGGTTTCAGAGACAAAGACCAGCATTTTTTAGGGAATTATACAGGCGGTGAGAACCTAAACTTTTTAGCTATGAGGGAGGGAGGGATGGAAGTAGGAAGTAGGTAGAGCTCTTGAATTCAGTTAACCACAAAACACAGTTAACCAAGCCACTACACTGTTAGGTTTTAAACAGGGAGACCAGCTTTCCGCTGTAATTTTTCCTTCTGGTGGGGAAATGTAACAGTTGGCTAAAGCAGCTGAAAGACTGGCTACAAAATGAAAGTCAGGGAAAAAGCATAAATACAAAATAGATGATTTGGCTTCCACAGCTTTTATTTATTTATTTATTTATTTTGAGAGACAGGGTCTCACTCTGCCCCTCACATTGGAGTGCATTGGCACAATCACAGCCCACTGCAGTCTCAACCTCCTGGGCTCGAGAGATCCTCCTATTTATCAGTCTCCCAAGTAGCTGGGATCACAGGTGCATGCACCACGTCTGTCTGATTTTTGTATTTTTTTTTTTTGTAGATATGGGGTCTCACTATGTTGCCCAGGCTGGTCTTGAACTTCTGGACTTAAGTGATTCTCTTGCCTCAGTCTCCCAAGGTGCTGTGATTACAGGCATGAACCACCGTGCACAGCTGGCTTTCACAGCTTAAAAAATTTTTTTCTGAATAAAAAACACATAAAAACTGTATAGGTATAAACCCACGTTCACAACAGCATTATTCACTATAGCTTAAACATACAAGCAACCCAAGTGTCCGATGACAGATGATGGATAAACAAAATGGTATATACACAATGAAATATTATTCAGCCTAAAAAAGGAAATTCTGACGCATGCCACAACGTGGATGACCTTTAGGACATTATGCTAAATCCTAATAAGACAGTCACAAAAGACAAATACTGTATAAGTCTACCAATATAAATGAGGTATCCAGGGTAGTCAGAATCATAGAGACAGAAATTAGAACACTGGTTACCAGGGCTGGGAGGAGGGAATGGGGAGTTATTGTTTAATGGGTATAGAGTTTCAGTTTTGCAAGATGGAAAGAGTTCTAGAGATCGATGGTGATGATGGCTGCACAACAATCTGAATGTACTCAATTCATATGGTACTGAACTGTACATTTTTAAAAATAGTTAAGATGGCCAAGCATGATGTCTCATGCCTGTAATCCCAGCACTTTGGGAGGCCAAGGCAGGTGGATCATTTGAGGTCAGGAGCTCAAGACCAGCCTGGCCCACATGGTGAAACCCCATCTTTACTAAAAATACAAAAATTAGTCGGGTGTGATTATGCCTGTAATCCCAGCTACTCAGGAGACTGAGGCACAAGAATCGCTTGAACCCAGGAGGCGGAAGTTGCAGTGAGCCAAGATTGCACCACTGCACTCCAGCTTGGGCGACAGAGCGAGACTCTGTCTCAAAAATAAAAAAATAGGCCAGGCCTGGTGGCTCATGCCTGTAATCTCAGCACTTTGGCAGGCCGAGGTGGGTGGGTCGCCTGAGGTCAGGAGTTCGAGACCAGTCTGGCCAACACAGTGAAACCCCATCTCTACTAAAAATTCAAAAATTAGCCGGGCGTGTAGTATGTGCCTATCCCAGCTACTTCGGCAGCTGAGGCAGGAGAAGCAGTTGAACCCCGGGAGGTGGAGTTTGCAGTGAGCCAAGACTACGCCACTGCACTACAGCCTGGGTGACAGAGCAAGACTTTGTCTCAAAAAACAAAATAAAAAATAAGTAAGTAAAAATAAATAAAATGGTTAAGATGGTGGATTTTATTTAAAAAATGTTTAAATGCATGTTTACTACACATATACAAAATAAAAAATAAACCACATCTGTAATCCCAGCACTTTGAGAGGCCAAGGCAGGACGACTGCTTGAGCCCAGGAGTGGGAGACCAGCCTGGGCAACATAGGGAGACCCCATTTCTACAAAATGAATTAAAAAATTAGCTGGGCATGGTGGCTCATACCTTGAATCCCAGAACTTTGGAAGGTTGAAATGTGAAGATCTCCTGAGCCCAGGAGTCTAAGACCAGCCCTGGCAACATAGTGAGACTCTGTCTCTACAAAACATACAAAAATTAGCTGGGCATGGTGGTGTTTGCCTGTAGTTCCAGCTACTCAGGAGACTGAGGCAGGAGGATCGCTTGAGCAAGGGAGGTCAACACTGCAGTGGGCTATGAAAACGCCACTGCACTCCAGCTTGGCTGACAGAGTAATACCCCAATCTCAAAAAAAAAAAAAAAAAAAAAATCAGGTGGGCATGGTGGCATACACCTGTGATTCCAGCTACTCAGAAGACTGGATTGCTTGAGCCAGGAAGATCACATGAGCCTGGGAAGTCAAAGCTGCAGAGAGCTGTGTTCAAGCCAGCCTGGGCAACAGAGCAAGACTCTGTCCCAAAAAAAATAAATAAATAAAACATCAGCCCAGTTACCCAAATCTTAGTTTGCAGAAGCAAGCTACATTTTTGCTTACTTTATCATAGTCTCTTTTCATGCTAAAACCATTTATAAAACCTATGGTTTTATATCCAGTGGATTGCACATAGGTAGCCCATAAAATTCCCAAGAGGAAACTCTTTTCCCATACATCAGAGTTAGCGCCTCTTACAATGCCCCACCCCCATTTCCACAGGGAACTGTTGACAGTCTGATGTGTGTCACTATCAATTGGGAATAGGTCCACTTTGAGTTACCAGCATCCCTGTATAGTGGCTCACACGTGCAGCCCAGTGGTAGTAAGTTCATGCTTGATAGTGCCTGACCAATGACTGTAATTCTCTTACCCCACTCCTTAGGTGGCAGCCGCCACCCTGGCCATCACACAGGTTTTCAGGCAGGCAAAGAGGGCTGTATCCTGAAGTTCTATGTTTTTATTAGGGAAGAGAAGCCTCTCTAATAGCACATTTCCCTTTACATTTCACTGGCCAGAATTGGGTCACATTCTCCCCCACTCTGCAGATCCACCACTAGCCGAAGTGAATAAGACTGCCTTGGTTGTTTAACCAATCAGGATTCACCCCTAAAGCTAACGTAGACTCTTTCCCGCTCCTCAAGGGATCAGAAGATTTCTACTCCACATCTGAAAAGAAAAAAACTGAGGCTCTGTAATAAAGGAACATTGGTTGTTGAAAGAATAGTTGGGGTCAGGCACGGTGGCTCACGCCTGTAATCCCAGCACTTTGGGGGCTAAGGCAAGTGGATCACTTCAGGTCAGGAGTCAGAGACCGGCCTGGCCAACATGGTGAAACCCCGTCTCTACTTAACATAGAAAAATCAGCCAGGCAGGCCGGGCGCGGTGGCTCACGCCTATAATCCCAGCACTTTGGGAGGCCGAGGCGGGTGGATCACAAGGTCAAGAGATCGAGACCATCCTGGTCAACATGGTGAAACCCCGTCTCTACTAAAA